GAAAAGAAAGTTAGTTTATATTTTTTCACGTTTACTTTTTAAAAGTAATAATAAAACGAAACAAAAACGTATTTGATATTTATAGCCAAAACAAGAATTTACGACGAATTTAATTATAACAAAACAATAATATGAATAAACTACGTGAAATGTTTTCCGTAAATAATTTCTTGTTTACTTATGTTAAAAACCGACAGGAAAAGAGCAATATTAATAAATGTGTTATTTCAGTAAATCACGAATTGTAAATATTTGGTACATTTATAGCACGTGCTATTAATATTGCGTGAATTGAAATGCCGGAATGCGGGAATCAAATATATATTAACCAACGTTTGATCTCGGTCACAATTTATGTTAAGTTGTTTTATAGTTGAAAAATAGTACACGCTAGTTTATGCACTACTTACTAGCTAGCCGACTCCGTCTGCGCGGAGTTAAAAAGAAAACTTAATAAGTAGCCTGTTTCTAATTCCATACTATAAATTTCATCAAGATCCGCAAAACCTTTTTGGAGATACCTCCTTACGACTATCCATCCATTTAAACTTTCGCATTTACCACATTACTAGTTGTCACCCGCGACTCCGTCCGCGCGAGATTAAAAAGAAAACTTGATAAGTAGCCTGTTTATTCTTCCAGACTTTGTTCTACGTCTGTGTTAAATTTCATCAAGATCCGTTAAACCGTTCTGGAGATATCTTCTAACAAACATCAATCTATCTAAACTTTCGCATTTTTATAACAAGATTTACCATCTTAAAGGCCTCCATGTTATACTTGATCGGAAACATTAACTGTAGTATGTTTTGTTAGGAAGAAAAATCCGACACTATGCCGGTGTATCGGTGCAACACTAGCCTTTTTAAAATATCAACGTTTATGTCCCCTCACTAATCAATCTGACACTTGACTTGGTAAAGAAACCGTGCCGTTCGCTCTTATCGATTCTTACTAATAATGTCTAAAAGATTTTTATGTTTTATGATCAACAGAAGCTAAGGCGCATATCCTCGGTCCGGCGGACTTGTACGTGAAGACGGGCAGTGCACTATCTTTGACGTGCATACTCAGCCAGGGTCCTCACGATCTGGGAACTATATTTTGGTATAAGGGTAAGAACATCATAAACTTAATAGCAATTTATAGTCGAATTCATAGTATTTCAACTCATAGTACAGATATTTCAATTTTATTAAGAAAGAATGATTATGAAACACAATATTTTCCTTAGTTTATTTCAGCATTAAATTATTCAAACTTTCGTGAGACATTATACTAAACTGATATATAAACACGGGTAAACACTTATGTATATACGTCCGGTGGCGGCACCCACCACCGGACCACCGGCCACCGGACGTATATACGTGAGTGTTTAGCCGTGTTTATATATCAATATTTCAGCAGTGTAAACTAACCATTATTTCTAACTTCGACTGTCTTAAAATATAACGCGATAATCAAATATAGTAAATAACTGACCAATAAAACAAATTACTATTTATTCATTTAAATTCCAGGATCAAATATTATAGAATATAAGGAGGTTGAGGGGAACGAGGTTGCAATGGAGCCGCGGATTCGTCTTAAGACGGAATGGACGGAACAGCTGACGTCACGGCTCACTATAGAGAAATTGACGCCTGGGGACAGCGGCAATTACAGCTGCGTCCCCACCATGGCTGAAGCATCGTCAGTCAACGTTCATGTTATTAACGGTAAATGGAACTTCGATTAGTATTTATTTTTTTTTGTGACTGATTGCCACTGTTTGCCTTGAGGAGGCATTTACAGCTTCACCGGGCTTGAGGTGGCCGAGCGCAGATGGCACTTAGCCTAAACCTCGTTTAAGAGTAACTAAGCTCGAGGGCTCCCTCAGGAACCTCGGCTCGGGCCGTTACTTCGTTATTATTACCGGATTGGGAGGCTGCCGAGCTCTTAGGTCGCTTCGGTGGACGCTCCATGGAGTGACGGGGCTCAAGGGCCCCCGAGAGGGGGCCTCGGCTTGGGCTGTCACTCGATACGCGTTTAGCATTCCGATTCAAGGGTGCCCGACGGGGCCGAACCTCGGCTTGATCGGTTGCTGTTTCCTGATTATTATTAGTTCTGATGCATCTAATATTACTACCACTTCGGAAAGCGTTAGCGCTGGGAGAAGAAGTGGCGGAAGAAACTCCAGCTACGCTTCTATCGTTGACAGGTGAAAATCTGCCTGCTATGAGGCCATATCGCGAGAATGATTGCCGTAGCCGGCAGCGATTGGGATGTGTGGTGTGACTGCGAAGTTGTTTAACCCTAGCCTGAGCGATGGTAGTTGCGTCATCT